AGTGTGTAGCAGAAAGTGTGTAGCAGAGCCTCACACTGGGTCTTCTTCATAGCGACACATCAGGACCAGCCTCCCCCTCTTTTTCCTGCTAGCCAGGTAACAAAAGGAAGCAATTAGAGAATGGAAAACAGGATCATATCACATGTCACACTACAGAGGGTGAATCGGCACACATTGAAAGAGTTAAAGACATGCAGAGAATGCCTGGAGAAGACGGATTGAATTAACTCGGAGGGGCAGCAGGTGAAAAGGCGCTCAGACAGGCAGAGGAAGGGAAGGTTAGGAGAGAGAGGGGGTTCAAAAGCACAAAGCATGCAGGGCAACATCAACCCTCCGCATGCAGACTAGTCTCCTTCAGCTAGGTCGATCCTTCTGGGAAAAGCTTCTGAATAAATCTAATTGTGCTTTTTTTATTTATTCCCCTCCACTGGAAAGAGTACCCTCGTACTATCAACGCAGCACTGACGGTGAATTCAGGACACCAGATTGTGATGTTTTTGGACATGAGGAAGTCCTAAGGATGGAGTATGTCACCATACATACCCTGGCTGTTTCTCAATGTCGAGGAAAGCTGCCCCAGAGCCACTACTTCAAGCACACTAGGTCATCGAAGGACTGTTTGAATGCCCGGCATACATGTGCTACCGAGCAAGCCTCCTCGACATTGAGAAACGGCCAGAGACTATCAGAAGAAGTGCTTTTGAATTTGAAGGCATGCAAGGTGACTCTGTAGCATGGAGCCAGCGTTGGCAAACCTTTAGTCCATTTTCCTAAAAATTTGAAGGCAATTTGAAGAGAGAATTTGCCGAAACATGAATTTGCAACACAATTTGAAGTTTTTGTGTATGTTTATTAAAGCAGACAAACAGCAAAGAATACAAGCCAAAATGTAAAAGCCAAAAAATGGGACTGCGAGGGTCCTTTTTTTTTTTTTTTCCTTCTTTCAATAACAAGACATTACTTTGTGACAATACAAATTGTATTTTCATTTGTTTTAAATACATGTTTAGGAGACATTATGCTTTGTTGCTGTTAGCTACTTAACATTAAAACCAGAATCTCTAAAAACATAAACATAAAGCTACAAGCCAAACAGCTCGAGCACATATCCGCATCTAAAAGGTTTCAAACGTTGTTACGGAAAATCTTTTTTTAAAACGATGAAATAAAATAAAAAGGAAAAAACCAGTTCGCCAGAAACAAGTTGGAGTGAGACTACGGTTTGAGTCCAAGCGGATTATTCAAATATGTACAAAAAGATCATTCATAAAATCACCAATTTTTTTTGGGAGGAAAAACAAAAAGGCAGGGAGTGAGGGCCAATCAGATCACGTCTCTAAATAAAGAAGACAGAAACACGGACTTTGTAATCAAAGCCCGGGTCGAAACATTAGAGGGTCTTCAAGGTGTGTTTTTGTTTTTTCAGGGATTGTAATAATGTTAAATGTTCCTTAATATCTGTCCTTTGTTTGAGATGTTGCGAGTGGAGCTGCAAGGAAACAAATATCAGACTTGATCTGACAATAACGTAATAAATCGTAGCCCTACTTTTTTTTTTTTTACTTTTACTTCCACTGCTGCCCGAAGGAATCCTGATAAAATTCCTGGTTGTCGGATTTGTAACCGGAATAGTTACCAGAATGATCTCCGCCTTGGAGCGGTTGCTGAGCAATGGGTTGAGAGCCCCAGTTCTGATTATTGGTTTGGCGCCGCTTGGAATCGGGCTGGTTGTACCCATCAGCTTTACGTTTTCCTCCTACATTTCCACCGCGGCCACCCCGAGCACCACGTACCCCTCCTCGCCCTCTCGGCTGCAGACCTCCTCCTCCTCCTCGTGATCCTCGTCCTCCGCGTCCCATTCCTCTCGGGGAGAATCCTCCTCCTCCACCTCCTCGTCCTCTAGGGGGCCCGACGCCTCTTCCTCTGCCCGGAGAAGAGCCTCCTCCTCTGGGGCCCCTGCTGCCGCCGCCCCCTCGTCCGCGATTGGGCGCCTGGAAGTCCTCGTAGCCGCCGCCACCGCCGTAGTACGGGTCCTCGTAGCCGCCGCGGTAGTTGTGGTAGTCGTAGCCGTAGTAGTCGTAGTAGTCATCATAGCCGCCGTAGTAGTCGGGCGGGTAGTTAGAATAGCCACCGCCGCCACGGTTCCCTCCTCGACCCCGACCTCGGCCCGGGGGAGGCATGTGGGACGGGGGAGGGTAGTAGTAATAATCGTCGTACCTGGAGAGAGACACAGAGAACATTGTTTATATTAGGGGCGCGCAAAAAAAAAAAATCTCTGCCGATTCAGGATATTCCAAGAATCGATTCCCGTTTTTCAGTCTTGCCGCAACGTGTGAGCTCCGTGATGTCCCGCTATCATTGTACTAGGGCTGCACGATATATCGTGTCGTGACGATAATTGCGATATGCGCGATATTCACTTAGCAGGAAGTGCGATTTAAAAAGAGTTTTTAAAAAAAAGAAAGAAATTAGGACGTACGATATGGGGTAGGTAAGTTTGAGAAACCGGCTCGAGATACACTTTTTGTTATATTCCATGGAATGCTCTTAACGTCCCGATAGCAATG